ACGGTCGTCTTCGAGTATAGAATCCAGAGGTTGGCAGTGAATATTTCGGAGACAGTAGCAAAGCGTAGTTCAGGTTCGCAGTGGATATCACAGCAGAGTGTAGTTCTTCCTTCTGTCGTGTTCGCCTGACAAGTTGGATCTGGTCCTTCCGGTAGGAAAAACAAAGATGGCCGCCTTTATACACGACGGATACAGTGTTCTGCGGCTTCTGATTGGTTAATCTTCTATTGGTAGATTATAAAGGGAAATAAGTCATTTTGACTCGCTCACTAGTTATATACAGTATATACCCAAAAAACCGTAACAAATGGGGATATACCCATTATCGTCAGTAGCTATGCTACAACACAATATATCTTCCATGATATCTCAATAAGTTGACGTTTTTCTATATATTTAATGAGCCTGCAATGAAATTGCCTTTGGACAGATTAGGCTAAGCTTGGTAAATATCCGCCGTTATTTACTTGTAAACTCTCCATATCGGTTGGGTTTATCAAGTAAAATTCAACACTCCACCTGCTCCAGTCATGAAGAGCTGACGGCGACTACTTGGACGCATGAATGAATTCATGTTTCTGATGAATAATATTATCAAAAGAGGTTTTCAAACAGTCGTATATTGCATGTTAAACTCCCAGCTGTGACACAGAGCGAAACGTAAGGTGGGTAAATCATTAAAATGTCAAATACTCTAAGTCACCCGAAATGCTTACAGATATATGAATTTGCAAGTGCAAACGTTTCAGGTTTCTTGCTTCAGTATATTTAGCTCTTGAAAATATATTTCAATTGAGCCCTGTTGAATGACAACCTAATTCTATAAACAACAGCCACCTGCGCTAATGAAAAGCTCTTCAGTAAAATGTATAGAGCCCTATGGCTAATTGGCATTTGTTGACATTCGTAAAAACAATACGCTAGATTTAGCTAGTTCATTCTGTCGAATGAAGATAGCTCAGTGGTAGAAACTCTGACTAACACCAAATCGTTGGGTTTCAATCCTGGTTTGAGACATTCGGATGTCTAGTCGCACTGACGAGCTGCGAAACTACTGTCAGCGAATGACACACACACACACACACACACACACACATATATATATATATATATGTGTGTGTGTGTGAAAAATAAATATTTCCTGTGTTAAATAAATGTTTTTTCAACATTATATATATATATATATATATATATATATATATATATATGTTTGTACAATGGTAACGAAAAGAAGCATTTAACACAACAAATATTTATATTTGTACAAATATATCTATGTATATATATATGTACAATGATGATGAAAAGAAACATTCATTTAACACAACAAATATTTATTTTTCAATATACTTCCTTATCGGTGCATTTAATTCAATAGTGAATAAAACTCGTACAAATAAAACGTTATGCAGTGCAATTTTCAGGTGAAACATCAACAGATATCTATGTCTCATGCAACATAATTATTGATGCATTCTTATAACTACGACGACTGCCAACTGGTAGTCGAATATGATCATGCAGGATATCAACTTACAATATCAAGCAATGGGCGTCATGATTTTTTTTTAAATAGAGAAAGACTTTGCGCTGATTCAAGTTCACACTTTAAGCAAAAACAGTATATAGCCAAAATGAAGTAGCAGCCAAGCCGCAGCTGCTACACCCGAGTTTTTCTTCTATGTAACGAAGGCTAGGGGACCCAAGATCCCCAGTGGCCTTACCGTGCGCTCGGAATGGTGCACAGACAACGACCAAGTAATAACCAACACCTGGTCCCAAGATCACCCGAGACGACTATGGACATGGAGGAGTCCAGCAGGAGAAACTAAAAACTAAATTGATTATATAACCATCAACAAAAGATTCAAGAATGCAATGATTCACTGCAAAACTCTTATATGTAAACTAAGAGTGAGATTGCAAAGGCTGAAGAAGCCTAATGCAGCACCCAAACGGCAAAACTCCTAAGCGATCCTGACATAAAAGAAAAATCATGTTGTTTGCTGCCAGTATAGGTTCTTGATTATTCGAGGTGACGGAGATGTGGTTCTACAGAAGGATGCTAAGGATATCATGGACCAAGTGTGTGAGAAACAATGAGATCTTAGAGAGGTTGCAAACAAGGAGAAGGTTTATACGTAACATCAGGAAGAGGCAGTTGAAGTTCCTGGAGTGCATAATGAGGAAGGAGGGCCTGGAGAATCTGATACTCTCGGGTCTAATAGAGGGAAAGAGAGACAAAGGAAAAAAACGGATGACATACCTGGCGGACTTAAGCAAGTGGGTGACAGAACGTGGTCTGGAGGAGGGAGCAGAGGGAAGGAACTTGTTGAAAGCTGCAAGGGATAGAGGGAGGTGGAGAACCATGATCGCCTACGTCTTGAAAGAAAATAGCACATAAAAAGAAAGACCTGTAGTAGATGGGTGTTAATCCCATAAAAGGATTCACCCACTTTTTGATGGTTATTGTTTTTAATCCTGTTGATTATCTAGCCACGGTCCTGACTAGAAAAGCCAGGCCGCGGAACCGGTTTAATCGCTGATAACACGACCATGCGGTATGTAGTGCTGGGTAGTACATGTAGCACATATCGAGTAACCTGAAAACCTTCATATATATATATATATATATATATATATATATATATATATATCCACATACTGACTGTTTCGCTGTATCACAGCTCATCAGTGTGGCTAGATTACTTCAAGCCGGGATCGAAACTTTGGCATCAGTCAGAGACTCTACCCTAAGCTATCGGTGCACGTCATATATATATATATATATATATATATATATATAGAGAGAGAGAGAGAGAGAGAGAAATAGATATACTATTGTCAGAGAAGCCTTCCTCATAAAACATCTGGTCCCCATTATTAATCTCACCTTATTTAGTAGTGGAAATAATGTGTTAAAAGTTGTTTTTTTGAATAGATAGACGCCAACTCGAATATATAGGCATCACGCAACTACATCTTAAACAGACAACCAATTAAAAGAAATTAACACTCAACAACAAATATCTTGAAAATGACTAAAGTGGCCGAAAGCGCTTGAGACAATAGACACAACGAACAATTTTTAGTCTCTTAACCCCACCAATCGTAAAAATAATATATTATTATAAAAACTAAATAAAAAATTAATCCAATTATCCTTGTGTGTTATATTCAGGGAAACATATTTGAAAAGAATGGTTGCTTCCCAAATATTCATTTATATATATATATATATATATATATATATATATATATATATATATATATATATATATAAACAGATTTCTAGTACTGCCAAATCTAATCAGACATTTGAGGAATAAAAAATATGGGATCATATTAAACAACAATGTCCACGTTTAAAACCTAAAATGTAAGGTACCTTTCGACTGACACATTTTCAAACACAATCGTCGGTAATCTAAAACGGAGTACTAACAAGAGAATTTTTTTTATTAATACCGTAATAAAACAAGATGGTAAGGGGGGAGAAAAAAAGAAAAGAAAAAAAATTATTTTACCTCAAATCATATAACCGTTCCCCCAAATAAGGCCAACTTAAACTTCATCTCCCGTTGTACGCAGAGGGCCGGCCTACGTATGTTGATAATAACAGACTCCAAAATGTCGAGGTGGTGTCTGTTCCTAGCCCTGTGCAATACCGAAAAGAAATGGCGAGAATACTCAGTCCTACAAACACCAGAATTTAATAGATGTTCACCGATAGCAGAGGCATGAGTCTGCGAACACCCGAATGTCACAAATTCATGCCTGCGGACGCAGCCCGGGACATGTTGGGCGATTCTAACATATATATATATATACATTATATGTATATATTATATGTATATATATAATAACATCCCTCAAACACACACACACACACACACATATATATATATATATATATATACGCATTTTATTACTTAAAAATTATTTTTAGTTGATACCCATATTTGAGTAGATGGTTTGTATTTTTATTAAACAGTATAAATATTTTAATCTACCGGCCTGAATATTCGAGAAATCTTATTAGAAAAATATGCACTCCCCGGCAGGATTCAAACCTGGGTCCGCCTAGGAGAAACCATCATTAGATCTAACCTCTTGGTTTAGGAGTGCCTAATGGCGAAGCCAAGCCAGAATAGCCTTTTTAAAGCATCTACGCAAATATGACTATCCGCTGAAAATAACTTTTAAAGAATACAAATATAATAAATGAAAAATGCATTCCTGAAATTGCTACATCAAATCGCGTAAGATATTTGAGAACCTGTGATTGTACGCCTGAAGCTATGCGATAATCAATTAATGTGCTTTTTTTTTATCTTTATTGGGAGCATCAATGGCGAACTATCAGATTACGCAGGAGATGAAACGACAGGCAAAGCACAACGATGTTTAGATTGTACGGCTTTTGGAAGTCGCCAAATCGTCTGTGTATAAAGTTCGGAAAGAGCTGACAGTCTTCAGCGGGAATATGTCGCCTGTGCGGAAGCGCAAAATGCATTCACAACGTTTGGACCGAATGAAAACCTCACAATTTGTACAGCAGGGAGGCAGAACGTTATTAATTCTAATCCAGGAACGTCGATGAGAGTAATTGCCAGAGGTACCCAGGTGTTCGAGGGTACAATCCGTAAGGTGGTGCATGAGGACATTTGGTATAAGTCATCCGTGATGATGAGGAGAGGTCAGTTCATGTCGGCAGACACACGGGGACAACGGAGAAAAAAGATATGCGATTATGCGCGGACCCTTCTAATGTCCCTGCATTTTATGCACAGCAAGTTTCTGCCCCTGTGATTGTTTTAGGGGTGGTGAGTAGTAAAGCACATGTCATGCCACCCCAGCTCTGCAGCTACACACAAAGACGTGATGACCCAAGATTAGACGTCGGTCAATCTGCACGATCACACCACACCTAACATGTGGCCATCTAACTCGCCAGTCCTAAATCCCCTTGACTATTACATGTAAGGCGTTGTTGAACACTATACATGGATAACGAATGGTATGAGATTGATAGACAGACAAGCAAAAAGACAGATAGATAGATAGATAGATAGATAGATAGATAGATAGATAGATATGAACAGCCCATGATAGATACATAGATACCGAGTAGCATGGGACAGACAGACAGACAGACAGATAGATAGATAGATAGATAGATAGATAGATAGATAGATAGATAGATAGATATGAACAACCCATGATAGATACATTGATGCCGAATGGCATGATATAGATAGATAGATATATAGATATGCACAACCCAGGATAGATACATAGATACCGAGTAGCATGAGACAGACAGACAGATAGATAGATAGATACATAGATAGATAGATAGATAGATAGATAGATAGATATGAACAACCCATGATAGATACATTGATGCCGAAAGGCATGATATAGATAGATAGATATATAGATATGCACAACCCAGGATAGATACATAGATACCGAGTAGCATGAGACAGACAGACAGACAGACAGACAGATAGATAGATATGAACAACCCATGAACATTGATGCCGAATGGCATATAGATAATGATATGGCCCATGAAAGATACATAGATAATGAATGGCATGAGATAGATAGATAGATAGATAGATAGATAGATAGATAGATAAAGGCGTTGTTGAACGGGAGACAAGTGAATGTTCTCGCAATACGACTGATTCTTCGAAAGCCGCCATAATACCCAATATCAATACAGACAACGTTATCCTTGCATGTCGTAAGTTATATATATGTATATATATATATTATGATATTTTTATTTTAAAAATATTTTACATCGCGACACGGAAATTTCTGTTATGGAACTTAAATTTTTTTTCCATTTTCAAGCGATATTGGATAACCTTTTTTTCATCAAAAGTTACCCAACATCGCTTGAAAATGGAACAAATATAAGTTCCGAAGAATAGAAATATCCATGTCGCGATGTAAAGTATTTTTTAAATAAAAATATTATAATATTATGCGCTACATTGTATCGAGCACTTAAAAGAATGCTAAAGAAATGAAAATTCTAAACCTGACTGTTATTTCTCTGTATTTGGACATTTAGCATGAAACAGAAACAGTCTGTCGCCTCTCAGTGTTAACTTCAATGTTCACTTTTATATTTACATACGCTCTGTCTCTGATATTGAGCAATTTATCCCATATATATAGCACACCTTAATACCACACACACACACACACACACACACACACACACACATATATATATATATATATATATATATATATCAGTCAATTATGTGCCTTGCGTGATACACACTTTAGGCGATCATGTATCTTTCGATACATGACTGACGAGGCATATTTCTTCCCGCAGTAGGTTGCCATTTCTTTTTGCGGTAGACCAGTTGCCATCCAAGTCTATAGAACTCGGTCTGTTCTGTTATTTACCTATAGCTGGGGGGAGGGAGAAGAAGTGGATTCATACCTTTCTCAAGAGTATTAGCACGTAAGTGAATGTAATGTAGTGATTCGACTGGAATTCGAACTCGGCTCTCCGCTTCCTCAATCCGAGCTGCTATCAATTACCCCACCGTACAGCAAATTCGAACTCGGAAGAAAATTAAAATTAAATTATCTACTATAAAAAATTTAGACTGCAAACCTCATGGTCAACAACAATAATACACCTGCAAGATCCAAATTACAGAGAAACAATGTTATTTATGAATTCGAAAGTCCTTTAAGGAACTGTGTTCCTGATCAAACCAAATTGATAAATACTTATATTGGATATATAACAACATACCTAACAAGAAGACTCACGTTGTATCTCCTTGATCATAGCTCAATTGTAATGAATAATGAGTTGCATAATGTACCTGTGGGTGAGGATTTTATAGTGAGAAGATCGTTGCACGGGAACAATCCCACTCACTCGGCCTGGGAAGTCTTGATTCAGTGGCACAGGGAGCCGTTTCGACGGGAGACTGCCAGGCTGAAGTGGATGACCATGACTTCTTTAGAGTCTGTCTATATTTCTGAGATGAGGTATTATGTACAGTATTTACATTAGTCGGACTATTGTCCTCATCTTTGTCGCCATATCTGTCACAACGTTTCGGCCGTTGTACGCTCCGGCCTTCTTCAGGTGGTTGAAATTTCGAACTGAACCCTTTATTTCGATCACTGGGGTAGCATAGAAATAAATACAATATGGGAACCAGTAATAAGGAGTGCCAGAGAAAAGCAATGATAACAAAGTTGCAATATGAACTCTGGTAAAGACATGCAATGATAACAGCAAAAATTGCAATATGAGCACTGGTAAAAATGATGCTGAAAACATTAGGTTTATAATACTCAGAAGTTCATACCCAGATGTCACAGTGGATAAAGGCGTTGGTTAGATCCAGTGACAGACCCAAAGAAGGTGAGTTCAATTCCTGGTTAAGGCAGTGGAGAACTTTCAGAGGGAAAATTAGCAGGAGATAACTGATAACTGACATCCATCAAACATGGCACGTGGAACTAGAACAGTCTACCCCAGTGATCGAAATAAAGGGTTCAGTTCGAAATTCCAACCACCTGAAGAAGGCCGGAGCGTACAACGGCCGAAACGTTGTGACAGATATGGCGACAAAGATGAGGACAATAGTCCGACTAATGTAAATAATGACTTCTTTAGTTGTCACGTCCATGCTCTAGGGCACTCCATAGGAGTTGCTGCCGCCGCTTTCCCTACCGTTGGATCCACAGAATTTCTTTTCCGCTTGTTATGCGGTGGTCAGTTTTCGCATGCAGCAGAGCTGACACGGCCCAAGCCTAACTCACAGTGGGTTGCAGACCCGTCGGCTACCCTCACTTGGTTTGGCCGGCCCGGGGGTGGCCGCTATTACATGCAACAGCTTCTAGGAACCACAGGTGAGATCTGGTGACAGGTGAGGACCAGTGTTAGATGAGCTGCTCTGAAAAGATCAGGGCAACTCCCCACCCTGCAAAAGGTACTCCCTCTCCTTGACACCCCATAACCTTCATATCTCAATTAGGACTCATTTAAATAGATTAAAATTATAGCTGTAAGCGCTCGGACATACAGAACATTCTGAAAATTTCTACATAATTTATGTCTAGCCGTTTTTAATGAAAGTTGCATATATATATATATATATATATATATATATATATATATATATAACTGTTGTCAGATGTTTCTAGTGTATATTCTTTTAAGTTAAGCAAGTACTTTCGAAGATCCATGTCTCCATCATCAGGCTGTAATTTTTTTCCTTTAAAGTTAAAACTTGAAGACGAAATAATTGTATAATTTGTATTTTAATTCATACATTATGTTCTACGAGCCAAGTGATTTCGCCATTAATCGCATTAATATTGATGATTGATTCTATGTATGTTTATTTCTTTATATATATATATATATATATATATATATATATATATCTGTGTGTATATATGTAATAATGGAACCTTAAAGTTGTCTATTTTTTCTTTAAATTTTATATATATATATATATATATTGTGTGTATTTAGGCAGCATTTTTTCATTCATACACGTTTCATTAAATAATATAGACAAGTGTTGTCTATTTTATGTAAATTCTTTTCATAACGTCTGATAAGTTTAATAACATTATCATTGAACGAAGAAAGAAATTCACAATATTGATCCATATTTTTTAATACAATCTAAGCTTTCGGCTTACATAAGCCATTATCAAAGATGTCAATTACAACATATTAAGCAATATACGGACAAGACAGTGATGATAGTCTGTCATTGTTTACATAGATAATTTCTTAGCAACGATAAACACGTGCATATAAAACACTAGAAGAGAAAATCGCACTGCATCTCATGACATCACACATGACCACGCGAGAGTGAATTGGAGAAGTATGAAGTATGGGAACCCGTTGGTATAAACCAATGGCTACTGTTACCAATTATAGACATTTAAGGATACTTGTATAGATTCCATAGTTGATTTTGTTTAGGTTGGGTTTCAACTGTTTGATGCATAATGCTTCAAGGATTTTTAGTTTTTGTCTATTTTTTTCATGTCGAAGTATAATTGTGTTTTCAACAAGTATTTTACGGAATTGTGTGTGCAGCCAGGCATGCTGTTTTAAATGCCTAAAAATGTTAGAGTTTTCATTCAAATGTAGTGTCAAGCGTAGTGAAAGCGGGTTTGTGGTGTGACCAACATAAATATTATTTAATTCGTTGGAGATACAATTTCCCAAAGGGCACTTGAATTTATAAACTATGTTTGTTCTTTTGCAAATCGCTAACCGGGGAGAATATATATATATATATATATATATATATATATATATATATATATATATATATATATATATATAAAATAAAATCATTTGACCGTTGTTGACCCCCAAGGACACATGGGCGGGTGGATGAAAGCGTTGGTTGAAGTAATCCAAAAAGTGACTTGACACAAAATGTTGTGAGTTCAATACCTGGCCACGGCAAAGATGAACAAAACGTTGGAGTGCTGAGTTACTAATGGGAAATAACTGAAAACTGAGTTATCCAGAAACGGCCTGGTACGTGGAACTAGAACAGTTTAACACTAAAGGGCATATCACCTGAAGAAAGGCCGGATAGTACAACGGCCGAAACCTCATGAATATGACAGTAAAGATGAGGACAGCAGTCCGAACCGTATATATATATATATATATATATATATATATATATATATATATATATATATATATATATATATATATATATATATTATTTTTACCGTGAAATTAGAACTTAATTATTTCATATTGATTTCTAGTTTAATCTAACATCGGTTTGGATTTAGAATGCACTAACCGGTGTTTTTAATTTTCATATACTTGTATTCTGATTGGTTGTCATAGGTTATGTAACAATGTTTCCCCTATTGAAGAGTTTTTGATTTGATTTTGAATTTTCAGAAATCCCTTTCGTAATTAACATCATTACTTGATAAGAGAACAGATGTATTGAAACAAAATGGCTATTTTTGTAGTTATGTTATAACACTATTTACATTATCTTTGTCGCCATAACGTTTCGCCCGTTGTACGCTCCAGCCTTCTTCAGGTGGTTGGAATGTCGAACTGAACCCTTTATTTCGCTCACTGAGATAGACTGTTCTAGTTCCACGTGCCATGTCTAATGGATATCTCCTGTTAATTCCCCTCTCCAAGTTCTCCACCGCCTTAAGCAGGTATTGAACTCACACTCTTTGGGTCCTGTCACTGGATCTAACTGAAGCCTTTATCCACTCTGCCATGTGTCCTTGAGGGATCGAAACCCAACCGATTTGGGATCACTCGTAGTTTCTGCCCCTGAACTAGGGAAATTCTGGCGTATTATTTTTTTATGGATATAAAAAAATTGCGATAATTAGAGAATCGGTCATGTTGACTATGAAGAAAATAAAAATGTCTTATCCTAAAATATACTTTCTTCGAAGTAGTCCTCTTGGATATGATACAGTCAGCTTACAAATAGTTCCATTAACAAAAGAAAGCGGTTATGGTTGCGTCCATTTTCGTAGTAATGCTCCTGGGGAAGGCGTAAATCAGTCTCGCCTCCTCCCAGCTATGGGTTCAATAACTGAATAGATTGGGCTCACTGAGCGGCAACAATCTAAAAGGAGGGTGAATTCTAGCATAGAAAACACCGCTAATTAATGGCCAATTAAT